TTTAGGATCTGGCGAACATTCCATTTCCAGTCCATTTCGGAAATTTTCAGAAAATAAAATCGAAGGAAAATGCAGCAGTTAGTTGTTTATTTTACCCATCTCAAGCGTTATTCACCGTTTACACCGAGACCACAATGCACCTTGTTTATCCCCCAAAATTTTGAATTGCCATTATCTTCGATTTCTCTTGGGACGGCTGTTATACCTTGTAGAAATTGGACTATGGTTATGCAAAATGTTGGAGGTTAAAAGAGGGCATAACGTTCTGGGTGAAAGTTCTGAATGGAATAATAGTAAATAGTAAATGCTAACACCAAGACACCAATATGATGCGAAAAATTTATCAGTCATCCCGATAATGCCTTCAGGGAAAAAAAATATTTTTTTGCGAGATTTCAGCGGTCGCAAATTTTCGTATCTTTTGGGTTAAGACAGTTCTTCATATTTACGGTTAGCAAACGTACCAGAATGTTTGCACTGCAGATGAAAAGTAAAGTGTTCTTCATTCAGTCTAAAAAATGGGTCAATTCATAAAAATAGAAAGTGACTAAGTTGGGATCGCGAAAATTACATAGTTGCCCAAGCGTCACTAAGATGGGGTCTATAATTGGCCACAGAATAGACTATAATGGGGTAGGGGCTCTAAGAGGCCAGCGACACACGTAAAAAAGCAAAAATTAACCCAAATACCCCCCCGGAGGGTCTTGCCAGGTAACCTGTCGTCCGCTCTTGATCATGATCAAGCAGCTCTCACCAAAAGCAAGCGTGTTTTTAATTTGAGGACTATAAGTCTCTTATGAGTCAACTTTACTACTCCCTTAACATGCCGAACAACTGCCTAACATCAAAGTTTGTAACCGTTCTGTTGTTTCAACGACTCTTTTATTTCGCATAGCCAGAAATCACGGACGCGACGCCCGGGTAGACAGCGGCATTCTCATGTTTCGTAGGCAAACATGGCGATTTGATTTACAAAGAAATGTATGGAGCGAAAATTATACTTGAGGATAGAAAAAGTTTTCGCATACCTGTAGAATTT